TAGGGGTACCCCAGTAGTACCCTTTCATTGTAGGGACTCTCGGGAGCCCCACTACCTGGTACCCCACTACCCAGTTAGATTTAAAGAAAGAAGGAATATGGCCTCAATAGTAGTGGGATACCAGGTAGTGGGTGTCCAAAGAGTTCATACAATTTCACTCTTTTTATTTTGGGGTCTCCTTATCAAAGCTGACCATTAGGAAGAAGGATGCCCTTATTATGGGGTTACTGGGGAACCTAGGCAGTCTACGGTGCAATGCCAACGACACCTACCGCTGTACTGGAGGAAGTTGTGCGTAGCTACGTCGACATGCGCATGTCTGTAAAGCCGAAGCATGGCGAAGCCTCCTAATAGGGTTTAGGGTTTAGGAGTATATAGGGGCCTTTATATACATATCTGCACAGATTGGATACAGAGGATGTGTAGGGTTATGCACGGAGATTCAATTGGAAAAGAAGATGGACAATCAAGTGGATGCTGGGGATACTGGGGATCAGTGACACGCCGCACAAGCCGAGCCAGCGAGTCAAAAAAAAACTAGTGCACGATTTATTAGCGTCTAAACTCCTTAGAAGAGGGTTTTCTAGGGGATTATAGGGGACTACTATCCAGGTTACTAAGGGGGATACTAGGAGTTTAGACTATAACCCCTATAATCGTCTAATAATCCCAGTTTCCATTTCATTTTCCATTTTCTTTTCCATTAAGGGGGATACTAGGAGTTTAGACTATAGGTCAGATGAGGAGCGCAGGCGACACGTGTCACTGCAGACAGCTTCTGCTACGTGTGCAGGTGTTTTCCCCAAAGCAACCGCGGTTTAGGGTGTAGGGTTTAAGGTTTAGGGCTTGGTGTTGGCGATTGTACCAATTGAAACCTTATATGGTCCTATACTATACATCGTTATAAAGCCCTAATGGTCATTTGATTTCCACTTTCCGTTTGATTTTGAAATTATTGGGGGTAGTGTCCCTATACAAACTACAAATTTCTAGTCTCCATATGTTTTCCATGTTCTTCTCCATTTGATCCTTTGCCATTTGGGTTACATCCCTGAACCCCTGAACCATAAACCTCTGCTACTGTCTTAACTGCTTTGCCAGGCGGGCTTCGCAATGAGTTGAGCTTGGTCTCACTTCTGCCTGCCACTCGTGTTTAGGATTTAGGGTTTAGGGTCACAACAATGCTGAGTGCCTCGGGTTTCCCCCGTTTGCCCAGACGTCAACTTTTGTTATTGTTTCAACTTTCAAGCCATGGTGACCATACCACATGGAGACCATGCATGGAGAAATGGCTGTGCTGACTTGTTGGCTTTCGGTTTTCAATTTGCTTGAGTGACAGAATTCTTGGGATAATGTCCCTATGTAATCCTTATATCACCCCTGACCTTATACGATCCTCATATTAGCCTTTATATAATCCTACTTCATAATTTATAATCCATATATATATGTAATTGACCTGTGGTCAATCAACCCCCTCCTCTTACTAGGGATTATGATAGGGATCCTAATATTACGGCCCTCAAAAGGAGGGATTTATAAATCCCGGGTCTACATTAGCAGTTTCCATGTCATTTTCCAATTGCCAGCCCTAAACCCTCAACCCTAAACCCTCAACCCTAAACCCTTAACCCAAAACCCTAAACCCTTAACCCTCAACCCTAAACCCTGAACCCCTAAACTCTTAAACCCNNTTAAACCCCTAAACCCTAAACTCGTCTGCTGCAGCCTTGCTCCGGCTCTGCAGTTCGGGCCGCCAACTGGCCCGTGAAGCGGTCTTTTCCATTGCGCCTAAGTGACTGGGTGTGTCTAGGGGTTTAGGGTTTAGG